GTTGCAACGCGTTGAATTACTACGCGTGGAAATTGTAACGCGTCGAATTATTACGCGTCGAGTTATTACGCGTTAAGGTTGCAACGCGTCGAATTCCTACGCGTGGAAATTGCAACGCGTCGAATTACTAGGCGTGGAAATCGCAACGCGTCGAGTTATTACGCGTTAGTGTTGCAACGCGTTGAATTACTACGCGTCGAGTTATTACGCGTTAAGGTTGCTACGCGTCGAATTACTACGCGTAGAAATCGCAACGCGTCGAGTTATTACGCGTTAAGGTTGCAACGCGTCGAATTACTTCAGAAAAGATTGTCATAATTCCGGCATTTTTAAATATTTTGCAAAACAGAAAATATTCTGCAACAGGCAATAGTTATAATAAATTATACCCGAAATTTCGAAAATGCGAAACAAAGGTGTCCCATACCAAAAAAATTCACAAATACCAGCTTATTTTCATCTATCTAAAGATATTGCCTCCCTTAGTTGCATTAGAAAATGAGATCTTGCGAGTAATGACGCAAAGATGGCGGTCAGAGATAATCGATTAAATCATAATCGAATATAGCTTGCAAACGATGGTTATCACAGGTGAATTACAGAAGCAGTTATAGAATACTATGGAGAGAAACGTTGTTATTTCATGACTATAAATAGAGATTACGACGACAAGCGCGTGAACGCAATTAGCGAGGAACAGGAAGCGGGGAGTCGATTAAGTAATAGTCATCAGGTGTCGAAGAGTAACACGTGTCGAATGACATACGAATTTCTGCCACGTCTTCTTATATCTTTAATTCCCGACGGATCAACAGGCATTTCTATATTTATAGATCGCTCATTCGTCTGTTATTCGACTTCGTGTGTTCGGTCGATTCTAGGAACTATTTTCGCCATCGTACATTTTCTTGTGTTTCTATTTTCATTTTGTAGCTTCTGTTTATTATATTATACTAATAGTAGTAATTTAAAATTGGGGAGCAAAATTGAAAAGTTAAGTCTTGTTAGCTCAACCTAATTTTTATTAATAATATAATATTAATTTTTGTTAAGAATATAATTCTTGATAATAATATATTAGATAGTATATTATTAGGTTTTTGTATTTTTCCGACAATAACACGTTTTTAGGAATTAAATAATTATATCTCGTGAGCGATAAGATAATGGCCTCCTACGTCCACTTGCACTGCAATTAACTGCTCCCGTATTTCGCACATTAAGTTTATCAAGAATAACTATTAATTTCTAGGAAAAAAATGTTCAATTTACTATTTCTAATTAGTAACATAATTTTACGATGTATAGAATCTTTCTCTGAATTTAACAAATTATTTTATGTTCTGAGACAAGGAGAGATTCTCAAGAAAAGAATATCTGTACATCCATGTATTTAGTAATTAACAAAGTTTGTGTAGTAATATATGCATTATAAAATAGTACAATTAGTGCGATAAATAATTTTACATAATATTTTAACTCATTTTGTAACAGAATTTTTACACAATTATTAAAATTAATCATTTTACTAAAAAATCTGGGGTCTTCATACGAGAGATTCTCAAATAAAATTTGTCGAATACCGTACTTGACACAATTGTCATAATTAACGATTTTTTCTTACGAAAAAATATTCACGAACTCTCCACAAACCACTCAATCATCAAAATCAATTTTACAAACTAATTTTGAATTTTACAATTTAACAAGTCTGTCAATTTTCAACTCACGAAAGATTCTCAAAGCAAGATATCAAAGTACCTTAGTTAAATGCATACTAATAACACAATTACAATAAACAATTTAAATATTTCACAGAAGGTTTCAACTCACCTCACTCGAACCTAACAGAGATATTCACCAAATATTTCCAAACGCAGCTAATAGTAATGGCTTCGAACGACCCTAAAAATCACTGCATCGTTCGAACAATCAACGTAGATTCACCTATTTTCCGAATCAATCAACAATACTTAACAATTCCAATGATCTTTCGCGAGAGGAAACCCAACGGATGACGGAAGAGAACAGAGAACACTGGTTTGTGTACAAGTTGAAAAGCTGTTGAATCTGTGCCGTAGGGCGCATGTGTTATATCGATCTCCCCGTTCAGGGAGCATACAGTCACCCTCTCAATACATCCCTGAGACTGCGTTTTTCACCCTTGCTTGTAGCCGAAATGAGACCCCACAGGGTTCAATTCTGGGAAAACGATTCGGTTCTGCACGGACGATAAAATGACGGATATGGGAGGCTGAAGGTCATGACTGATGAGAGATTAAATTGGGGATTTGAATAATTAATGACGCATTGTACTTTTAACACTAAAACTACCAAACCGGTCAAATGACCGCTCCACAAATTACTTATTATAACGTGCACATTTTGTTAAAGTACATTCCTTGGAATCAGTATTGATTTCCATCAAGATAAATAATAAATGTGTGTGCTAATTTATGTTTCGTCGTTTGTATATTTATTATTTAACTTCATTTTTAATTTCAAAGTAAGTGAACATTATATGTCGGTAGGTTTAGTGTTAATTATTTTGGGACGAAATATTTGCAAGATAGTATGTGTTGTAAATGTAGGCGTTAAGGTTGCAATGTGTGGAATTAGTATGTGTCGAGTTATTACGCGTTGAGGTTGCGACGTGTCGAATTAGTATGCGTCGAGTTATTACGCGTTGAGGTTACAACGTGTCGAATTAAATATGCGTTGAGTTATTTCGCGATAAGATTACAATGTATTGAATTACTATGCATTGAGTTATTACGCGTTAAGGGTATAACATCGTCGAATACGCGTCGAGTTATTACGCGTGGAAATTGCAACGCGTCGAATTACTACGCGTGGAAATTGCAACGCGTCGAATTACTACGCGTGGGAGTTGGGACGCGTCGAATTACTACGCGTAGGAATTGGGACGCGTCGAATTACTACGCGTGGAAATTGCAACGCGTCGAATTATTACGCGTTAACGTTGCAACGCGTCGAATTACTACGCGTGGGAATTGGAAGGCGTCGAATTACTACGCGTGGAAATTGCAACGCGTCGAATTACTACGCGTGGAAATTGGAACGCGTCGAATTATTACGCGTTAAGGTTGCAACGCGTCGAATTACTACGCGTGGGAAGTGGAACGCGTCGAATTACTACGCGTGGAAATTGGGACGCGTCGAATTACTACGCATGGAAATTGCAACGCGTGGAAATTGCACCCCGTCGAATTACTACGCGTGGGAATTGGAACGCGTCGAATTACTACGCGTGGAAATTGCTACGCGTCGAATTACTACGCGTGGAAATTGCTACGCGTCGAATTACTACGCGTGGAAATTGCTACGCGTCGAATTACTACGCGTGGAAATTGCAACGCGTCGAATTACTACGCGTGGAAATTGCAACGCGTCGAGTTATTACGCGTCGAATTATTACGCGTCGTAATTACAATTTCCCCCAAATTCTAAATTCCAACTCTAAGGTTCCCTATTATCTCTCGAGTCCCACATTCTAACATCTCTCGACCTCCTAGGTATAACAACAATATTTTTCCCAGAAACCACCACAATTATCAATTCCACAATTCCAAATATCTCCCACAAACACCAGCGTACTCAACGATAAATTGCAATCTCCCCGAACCTCTTATCTCCACCTCATCCACCTCTCTCCATATTCTGTTTGAACTAAACACATTCGTTATCGTTGCAACGTTTCTGCTTTATATTCGGTCATTACGTCAACGACGTAAATAGTTGTCCGAGACCTGTCTATCCAAACAGATGCTACTTGAATGAAAACGATATTAATAATTCTAGGACGTTCACCGAGAAGCTTGGATACAAATCATACTAGTTCAGTGGCTGTCAGACGCGTCTGAAGAACAAGTATTTTTATTAATGTGAATCACCTTCCAATTTATAGTCACGCACAACTGCAGTCTCTCGAATTGTCGCGTATATCGATCAGGCTACTGCGATACGATTCTTAAACTGCCGGCACGCTCATCACCGTGATTCCAGTCTGGATGAGACGCAGAACGAAACTGAACTTACTCTGCCACCCGACGCCAACATCCCCACTTTGTGCAACACCTTCGGCTCTGCTCGTGGATATCACCTACTTCTGTTCACGAAAATCATTATTTCATGTTCAACAAATTTAGAAGGGACTTGTTTTAATAACTTGAAATATTTGTAAATTAACTTTGCACCCTAAGGTGTATTTACTGCTTTACCATGTCAACTTGAAATCTTTTAGGTAGCTTTTGGAAAGTTTATATTTTATGTATTTTATAAAATCGATCCTCAAGATTTTCTATATTCTGATACTGACTTGCAGTTGTATTGCTTAATATTCTTGTGGTAGAAACAAGGAAGAAATAACGACTTAATAAATTTGGTGGTCATGAATAATTTATATCTTCTACGTCAGTGTGCACGTTTTCTACAAAAACTTGAGCAGAATTTATTAAATAGCAGTTTTAAAAATGTGAGGAACAAAAGAATTGTGTATTTGCGTAATGATCAGTATGTGATTTGTGAATTATGACGCCGGGTAATTTGATGAGTTGTAATTTTAAGGCGTAGTAACTCGACGCGTAATAATTCGACGCGCTGCAATTTCCACGCGTAGTAATTCGACGCGTAGCAATTTCCACGCGTAGTAATTCGACGCGTAGCAATTTCCACGCGTAGTAATTCGACGCGTAGCAATTTCCACGCGTAGTAATTCGACGCGTAGCAATTTCCACGCGTAGTAATTCGACGCGTAGCAATTTCCACGCGTAGTAATTCGACGCGTAGCAATTTCCACGCGTAGTAATTCGACGCGTAGCAATTTCCACGCGTAATTCGACGCGCACGCGTAGTAATTCGACGCGCTGCAATTTCCACGCGTAGTAATTCGACGCGTAATAATCCGACGCGCTGCAATTTCTACGCGTAGTAATTCGACGCGCTGCAATTTCCACGCGTAGTAATTCGACGCGTAATAATCCGACGCGCTGCAATTTCTACGCGTAGTAATTCGACGCGCTGCAATTTCCACGCGTAGTAATTCGACGCGTAGCAATTTCCACGCGTAGTAATTCGACGCGTTGCAATTTCCACACGTAGTAATTCAATGTGTTGCAATTTCCACGCGTAGTAATTCGACGCGTTGCAACGTTAACGCGTAATAATTCGACGCGTTGCAATTTCCACGCGTAGTAATTCGACGCGTAGCAATTTGCACGCGTGGTAATTCGACGCGTTGCAATTTCCACGCGTAGGAATTCGACGCGTTGCAATTTCCACGCGTAGTAATTCGACGCGTAGCAATTTGCACGCGTGGTAATTCGACGCGTTGCAATTTCCACGCGTAGTAATTCGACGCGTAGCAATTTGCACGCGTGGTAATTCGACGCGTTGCAATTTCCACGCGTAGTAATTCGACGCGTAGCAATTTGCACGCGTGGTAATTCGACGCGTTGCAATTTCCACGCGTAGTAATTCGACGCGTTGCAACCTTAGCGCGTAATAACTGGACGCGTAGTAATTCGATGCGTTGCAACCCTAACGCGTAGTAATTCGACGCGTTGCAGTTTCCACGCGTAGTATTTCGACGCGTTGCAATTTCCACGCGTAGGAATTCGTCACGTTGCAATTTCCACGCATTGTAATTCGACGCGTTGCAACCTTAACGCGTAATAACTCGACGCGTAATAATTCGACGCGTTACAATTTCCACGCGTAGTAATTCAACGCGTTGCAACCTTAGCGCGTAATAACTCGACGTGTAATAACTCGACGCTTTGCAACCTTAACTCGTAATAACTCGACGCGTTGCAGCCTAAACGCGTAATAACTCGACACTTTGCAACATTAACGCGTAATAACTCGACGCTTTGCAACCTTAACGCGTAATAACTCGACGCCTAGTAATTCAGAATGATGTACCTCTTCAACTTTTCTCCATAAGTTATTCAGCAATCACCGAGGAAACATCAATCGACTGTTTGTTTAGCGGTGTTTCTGGTCCTTCATCAACGTCTGATATTTGTATTATTAATAAGGGGTTAGTCTCCACTTTATAAAACCGTCGATGTACAGAATCGACTTTCGGAACACCTTGACCCCATTCTCGTGAATGTCGGATGAGTCTAAAGTTGACATTTCTACGTCCAAGTAGTATGACTCAACAACTCGTCACACGAGTTAAGTAGCCACCCTTGTCAATCCGATTTCATTGAGGGAAGCTTGTGAATGAATATTTGAAGCGATAGTTAGTTTCTGGCTTGAATGATAAAATGCTATAGAGTTACTCTATATTAGAATGCTATGAATTGATTTGACAGTTTGGAGTGACACTAAAAACGTGAAGAGTCATTTGGGTGTAGATTTTTGTTATCAAGATTTATACAAAAATTTGTATATTTGCTATTTGTTTTGTAGGTTTTTTTTTTGAATGATATTTAAAAGACAATTGGTTTCTGGATAGTTGATTCTGGAAGCCAAATTACAATTACAATTTTTATTTTTATTACAAAATTAAAATTATTGTAAAATTTTTGTGGAAAGATGCCTGGAAACATTAGTGCCATTTAGCGGTCAAAAGTGGAACTACCAAAGTATAAAAATTGGTTAACTGAAAAAATTCAGGACTTTTAGCTTGTCGACGGTCGTGGATTGTTTTAGAAAGCCAAAAAATGTCCTTAAAATTGTCTCGAAGAATTATTTACAAAAATAAAAGAAAATATAAGATAGGAATTACTGCAATTAATTTCATATCACAGTTTTTGAATTTATCGATTTTTCTCTGTTATCAACGCTTTCAGAACACTCTAAAATTAATAACTTTTGTTATCCGAAGTAATTTAATGCATAATATCATCAATTAAATCAAGAAAATCAATAAAAATTGACTTTTTCGAAAATCGTACTGGTAGCGCCATCTCTCCGGCGAACAGGTTGAACTAGACGCTTTGGAGACACCTCTTTGATTAGTTCCACCATTCTGCCGCTAGATGGCGCCACGGGTACCACGCCATGAACGCAGAATAAACCAGAGGCGACACTGGACCCTTTGGTTTCTCGAAAACACCACGTTCTTTTTGAATAAAATGCTGTTTTGGTGTAAAATAAACACCACAATTTCATAATCATAAAGTACCGCTTTAAGTTCGCGTTTGTCAAGCACAAAATTTTACATTCTCTTTTCTTTCTATTATCTTTGTGGAACACTTTCAATATTCGCCACTAGATGGATATCAAGAGTATCTTTCTCGCTAGTCCTCGGTTTGTTGTAAGTTACTATATATACAACCTCTGAAAATTATTCGACAAGGCGTCTAAGGCTGTTACTGCTAGTTTGCCTTACTGATGAGTCCGTACTAGCAGGTGGGACTAGATCTCTCGACGGTCCTGTTCTTCCCCTCCCATTGAGAATTCCCTGCTGCGGCAAAATCCGGTGACGACCCGCCGCCCGTCGGATGCCGTCCCCGAAAGGGGTGTGGTGGGGCGGGGTGTTCTGGCGGTGTTTTGAGGATGGTTGGGGAGGATGTCGAAGCATTACATTAAATTCCAGAGGAGGTGTCTTTCGGGTCGAGGAAAGAAAAACCACCACCAATAATCCTCTACCTATCTGCGTAAAATGTTTTGTGTTCTCAGCCTTACGGGTTGGTTCCCCGCGTCTAAGGCAGGGATCTGCTTTAAAAAAAGAAAAAATTAACTTTAGAGAAAGTCTTTGCCGGATTGGTCCCAAAGCAGATCTTGGACGAAACGCCTTTTTTTTCTATCCTTTATATTTGTATATTCTTTTCTTTTTCAACTTTTCGGCGCCGTAAAATTGATAAAAATACCTCAAAAGATAATATTAGTAATATACAGAGAATTTATAGAAAATTTATTACAAATGTATTCCAAATTATTAGAGATTGAAAGTAGTTTTACCCGATTTAAATTTCCCGCTCGTTCGTACAACCTAATCTAACTACTTTAAAGGGACACTATTTTCGAGAGATCGAAGGTGGCAGAGAGTGTCTCTGGTTTACTCTGTAGTACTGCTTTGGTAAGTAATTTGATGCATATTATACAACAAAATTAATATTAATTGAATTTGTTCGACGTCGGCGCCATCTGGTGGCAGATAACGGGAACTAACGAAACTACAGTTTCAAAAGTGTGTAGTTGACCCTGTTCGCCGGAGAGATGGCGCCACTAGTACAATTAAAAAAAAATTCAATTAATATTGATTTTCTTGACTTAATTATGCATTAAATTACTTCGGAAAGCAATATGAACTAATTTTAGAATATTCTGCAAGTACGATTTGTAACCATTAATGAACAAAGTACTGCATCTTTCAGAAAATAAATTGTTTAGTTTGGTTTCGCTTTTCACCACTACATGGCACTATTGGTGTCGTCCCAGCTCGCGCAAAATTATAAATTTTACAATTTCTGTAAAAATGATGCCTTAAGAATATTTTAAACTTCAATTAATTCCTTCATAATGAACTGTTCATTTTTTGTGACAAAATGAGCTTGGTCTTAAATATCAGCACTTGCTCACATAATGTTTATACTTATCACTTATTATTAGATGCGATGTTTAAATAAATAAAATTTATCTCGAAATTTTGTAGAATTTATGTATAATAACTTTTTAAATAAAGTTGTGAAATATTAAGATTAAAATGAGACACCCCATATATATATTGTGGGTATCTTGTTTGTGCTACAGCGCTCTTTGCTGCTGCTGTCACAGTCGTAACATGATTTCTCGTCCTTTATTGTAATTATTCAATTGTACATTTAACATAAGAATCTCTTAACGAAGCAATTTTATTTGAATCGTCATGGATTATAAAGACGAGCAACACAATGAGATCGAAGCGTTGGAGTCAATTTATTGTGGAGAATTGGAAAGTATGCAAGCATTACCGTTTAACCTATAAACTTTGTTTTTATTGCATCAGTACATTGCTTTTTAATGAATTACAACGTTTATATTTTTTATACAATGAAATAATAAATATTGAGATAAGTTTTGAGCTGGAGATTCTTGTAAACAGTAATTTCTTACAGTTTTAGCTACAGAACCATTTTATACGTTTGCCATCCCAATTAAAACTGAAGAGTATGAACCCGAGACTGCAAATGGTCTGAGTTGTCGTTTAGAGTTTACGTACACTGCAAAGTATCCGGATGAGCCTCTTATTATATCGATAGAGGATGAGGAGAACTTTGAAGAAAGTAGTGCAGAGAAATTAAAAGAACATTTAATAGAACAAATGAATGAAAATCTAGGAATGGTTATGGTATTTACTTTAGTTAGCGCCGCTCAAGAGTGGCTTAATGTACAGTGGGATAAAATTAAATTAACAAGAGAGGAGAGTGCAGCGAAAAAACTGAGAGAGCAGGAAGAAGCAGAAAGGGTAAACTATATAAAGTATTTGGCAATTCGAATTGTAACAGAATTAATATTTATACAATTACAGAAAAAGTTTGAAGGAACACGAGTCACCGTGGAAACGTTTCTAAGTTGGAAGGAGAAATTCGACGAAGAAATGGGATACACAAAGCGGAGAGAAATGGCTGATCGAGAAGGAAAGAAGTTAACGGGCAGGGAACTGTTCATGACCGATAAAACATTGGATCAATCGGATCTTAAATTCTTAGACGATGGTACCGTTTTAGAATGCCTAATTTATTTAATCTAAATTGAAACCGCAATGTAATATCATTGACTTTTTAATTCTTAGATTCCGTTAAGATAGATGAAAGTTTGTTTCAAAATCTGGATGATCTAGATCTGGAGGGCGACGACGACGACGATGATCCTGATTATGAACCAAACATTTCTGACGATAGTGCCTAAAATAAATACACTGTATATTCTGCGTAACTACTTATAAGATGATCCCAAGAACTCTTAATTATCAAATACGCGCAATGATTAGTACTTGAAAGTTTATTTTAAGTGCTAAACGTAGGCACAGGTTAACCTGTTCCGGAGCAAATACGCTAGTACAAAATGGATTTGTTAAAAATTCATTGGTGCTGTCTGCATTTTATACCACGATTAAAGCATGTTGATATTTGTTATACGTGCACGTGAGATGGAAGGGAAATATTTAATAAGGAAAATAATTTTTATAATCATGTACATAGGATCATTTTCATAAAGTAATTCTTTAACAAACCAAGAAGAAATCATTCTTTCCCGCGCTGAGAAATGAAATAAATAGGCGCACTAACGATCATAGTTTAACGTTTATTCATAGCCTTAGTATAATGCCATCAGTAACAAATCCTAACGAGCGTACAATTACGACTGAATGGTTTATTTCTCGCTCGTACATCCGCGATTACATAAATACACAGACAAATTCCTATTTAATTCATAAGATACGTGCTTCGTTATAGTTACGGTGAGGCAGTAATGGTATAATCAATATTGTTCGTCAAAGTTTCTATTTCACGTAACATATAGGAACCTTCAGACAGAATTCTCGTTTTCATACATTTACTTAACGTAAAGAGTGGCAATTACAATACGGTACAAAAAATACGGTATTTTTTTTTTTCTTACAATGTTATCTTTCTGTTCCTGATCATAAGTGCTTATACATTATGAAATCGAAGAAATCGGTGCGACAACACGTACGGCCTTACATACTTATACTTAACTGGATACATCTCTTCCGGACAAGTTTAAATAATTTCGACGATCTTACATATCGCCTATCTTCGGGTAGTCCATTGATGCTCATGAAAATAATTTTTACGTTGATACATTAATACGAAACTTAATATAATCTGTCGTCGATTACATGCGACATAATTACTAGAAGCAACTATTCACTAATTCACGTTACAAGCGGCTAAAATTTTACGGTGGTGGGCTGGTGCCCGCGGGCAGTCGGGGCAGAGATACACTCGGTACAAAGTAGGAGATTTTAAGGTTAGATATTTGGGATTTGGAAGTTTGGAAATTTGGGAATTTGGGGTTTGAGAAATTAGGTATTTGGAGATATGGAAATTTTGAGATTTGGGATTTGGTAGTTTGGAAATTTGGGAATTTGGGGTTTGAGGATTTGGAAATTTTGAGATTTGGAATTTGGAAGGTTGGAAATTTAGGGATTTGGGGTTTGAGAATTTTGGTATTTAGAGATATGGTAATTTTGAGATTTGGAATTTGGAAGTTTGGAAATTTAGAAACTTGGGGTTTGAGAATTTAGGCATTTGGAGATATGGTAATTTTGAGATTTGGAATTTGGAAGTTTGGAAATTTGGGAATTTGGGGTTTGAGAATTTAGGTATTTGGAGATATGGAAATTTTGAGATTTGGAATTTGGAAGTTTGGAAATTTAGAAACTTGGGGTTTGAGAATTTTGGTATTTAGAGAATTGGAAATTTTGAGATTTGGGATTTGGACGTTTGGAAATTTAGAAATTTGGGGTTTGAGGATTTGGATATTTTGAGTTTTGGAAATTTTGAGATTTGAAAATTTAAGAATTTGGGGTTTGAGAATCTCTATTTAAAAATTTAGGAATTTGGATATCCAGAAACTTAAAATTGCAGGAACTCGGAAATAATTTATTAAACATAAAATTACAAAAATTAAAAAAGGGAATTTGGAAAAAAGAAATAAAAAAACGTTGATCTACAAATTTGACATTTTGGAAGTTCAATAAATTAAAAAATTTAAAAATGTCACATCATCAATGAAATGTCAAACAATTTATTCGTCATTGCCCTCGAGTGGCCCGCGGGCACAGTCCACCACGCGACACGTCACAGATAGCGTTGATCGTCCAGCGTAAAGCAACGAATAAATAAAATAAATATCGGTCAACGTAATTCCAGCTACAAATTAGTGAATAGTCAAGGAACCTACTGTGTTAAATAATAATAAATAAGTACAGAGTATCGACACGCAAAAAAAAGAGGAAAAAAGAAAAGAAAAAAAAAACATAAAGCTCATAAACTTGAAATTCCCTGACATCTCCGCAATTCTCTCTTTTTTTAATGGATAATGAATCTGACCGCTGTTCATGCCGTTTTAGTCTCAAACCTGACAGAATTAACGTGAAACGACTACGTATACGTCAGAATAGCCGTCTCGTCTTTAGACTCTCCAACACGTCATAATCTGTTGGGAGAAGAACACGATTAGTATAACGTCACACTTTGCTAGCTTTTTTTGTTTTTGTCTTACCAAACGACTACTCGCGGTTTTGATACGGTTAGGTTAGGTTTGAGGGTACGTGTTTATGCACGTTCGATAAGTGACCGCTTTCGTCGTTTGGTTAAACTCGCTGTAATGGTTAAAATCTAGGTCAACCACAGTCGGCAGCAACTTTGCGCAGTTTTGGGCCAGTGATGGGTAAAGAGCTTGATGGCGGGTTTGAGGAAGTTTTTAGAGAGGGTTTTTAGTTTGGGATTTGGAGATTTGGAGGTTTGGGAGATTGGGAGTTTGGGAATTTGGGGATTTGGAGGTTTGGGAGTTTAGAAATTTGGGAATTTGGAGATTTAGAGGTTTGGGAGTTCAGAAATTTAGGAATTTGGAGATTTAGATATTTTGAGATTTGGAAATTTAGAGATTTGGGGTTTGGAGATTAAGGTATTTAGGGATTTGGGAATTTTGAGATTTGGGATTTGGAAGTTTGGAATTTTAGGAATTTGGGGTTTAGAGATTTAAGTATTCAGAGATATGGAAATTTTGAGATTTGGGATATGGAAGTTTGGAAATTTGAGAATTTGGGGTTTGAAAATTTAGATATTTAGAGATATGGAAATTTTGAGATTTGGAATTTGGAAGTTTTGAAATTTAGGGATTTGGGGCTTAAGAATTTTGGTATTTAGAGATATGGAAATTTTTAGACTTGGAATTTGGAAATTTAGGAACTTGGAGTTTGAGAATTTAGATATTTAGAGATTTGGGCTTTGGAAGTTTGGAAATTTAGAAATTTATAGTTTGGAAATTGCAATACTTAGAACTTTTTATATTTAGATATTTAGGATTTAGGAATTTGAGATTGATAATTTAAAAGTTTAAAAATGTACGAATTTAGGAATTTGTAGTTTGAAAATTTTAATACTTAGAACTCTGTATATTTATCTGTGTAGGGATTCAGGAATATTAAGATTGAAAATTTGTAAATTTAAAAATGTACAAATTTAGGATTTGAGGATTTACATATTTACGACTTTCTATTTTTCCAAGTTTGATAATTTGGGTGTTAAATCATTTGGAAATGAAAGAATTCCTATTTTAAAATATTAAAAAATTTAGAAATTAATTACAAGATTAATTTTAAAATGAAATTTAGAAACCACAAGACTATTAAAATATAAAAATTCCAAAACACAAGCATCAGAAAATCCATAAACTTTGAAACTACCAATTAACCCCACGCGTCACTTCTTTCGTCCGCCATTTGCATTGTCCCCCAGCCATTTGCCCACCACTGGCGTCCACTCCGGTAACCGTCTGGCTAATTAACGATTAATTACGTTACACACGACACATAGCAAACAAACGTTTATGCACGTACACCATTTCGTAAGATTCACCAGGAATTATATTATACAGCATGCGAAGACTCGAGAGCAGAGATCGACAAAATTTAATTAAGGTACGAGAGATTCTTGTGAAAATATCGTTCGATCTCTAAATTTTCGTTCTTAAGAAAAAACAGGTTTGAAATTTCATCAATTACGTGTGTACTTACCTTAATACATTTACATTTATTTTTAATTTTTATATTCAGAATGAATAAAATGAATGTTTCTTTTAAAAATCTTAAATAAATAATACTTTGGTATATTTAATAATTTTGTTATGTTCATTATTGGTTATTATTTTGTTACAGTGATTGTTAAAATTATTTTTGTTACATTGATTACTAAAATTATTTTTGTTACATTGATTATTAAAATTATTTTGTTACAGTGATTACTAAAATTATTTTGTTACAGTGATTATTAAAATTATTTTTGTTACATTGATTATTAAAATTGTTTTGATACATTGATTACTAAAATTATTTTGTTATATATCAATTATTTAAATTACCTTGTTACATTGATTACTAAAATTATTTTGTTATATATCAATTTTTTAAATTGCCCTGTTACATTGATTATTAAAATCATTTTGTTATATATCAATTATTTAAATTACCTTGTTACATTGGTTACTAAAATTAGTTTGTTATATATCAATTTTTTAAATTGCCTTGTTACATTGATTACTAAATTTATTTTGTTATATATCAATTTTTTAAATTGCCTTATTACATTGATTACTAAAAGTATATTGTTATATTAATCATTTAAATTACATTAATTATTTTGTATAAGTAAGCACACGTACTTGATGAAATTCCAAAAATTAAAAAAAAATTCAACGATATTCCACAATCGTTTTCCCATTACCAGGAATTTTGTCGTACTCTGCATACCATTACAAACCTATTTAGAATGAGATATTAACACCGAATGGGAACGTTTCACACGTCCCCGCGAAAATAGACACTTTTTACACGTAGAGAAAAATAGGTCGTATTTGATTCGACAACGATGATCTTCGTTATGCGAGGATCATCTTAGGAACAAATACTTCATGATCCCACGGTATCTCAAGATACAAAGTAGTACATTTTAAAAACCACACGTTTCAAAAGTGGAATTCGAAAATAGTTTGAACATTTACATATTTTTACCCGTAACGCGATTTTATTGTGTAAAGGGAAATCAAGATGGCGCTCGATACGATTACCAATTGCGTGGACAACGAATTGTTTATTGGTGTAATTTCTAAGTTTCTTTGAAAAGAATTTCTGGAGTTTGCAAAGTAAAGCGCTGAAGCGTGCACCTTTCATATTTGAATTTTTGAGGAATTTTGGGATTTATTTTTGGGGATTGGCGTAATTAGACCTTTGGCTGAGGACTAAATTTAATATTTTGGAGATCTCTCAAGTTCAAAATTAAAAATTTTGGAACTCAGAAATTGTAGAATTGGGATTTGAAAATTTGGAAACTTGAGAACTTCAGAATTGTACAATTTATAAATTGGAAAATTTTAAAACTAGCAAACCTTGACAAGTAAAATTTTGGACCTAAAAAAGTGAAAAATTTGAGAACTAAAAAATTTCACATACAAAGTGTCAATTGCCATTTTGCCTTCAAACTCCATTTCTACTTATGCCAAGACCTAGGAATTCTCAAACACATCAAGAAATTTCTACTCTGCCAAACTTTCATGGGAAAACTTTGGAAAATAAAGAAGTTCTTCCGTTTACATATCAAGTCTTTGTGAAATTCGTTAACTTTATTTGTTCGAATCGCAAAGATTCACAAACGCCTTTGACCACGAGGAGAAACGTATTTAAAATGATAGGACTTCAATCAATGAAGTAACGTTCGCTTTGTACAACACAATTGGTTATTGAAACAACAATTCCATAAAACTTTCTTTAAATACTTTCAATGGTTAATACTTATTCCTGAACGATAAAACTAGCATTTCCTAATACTGCGTACGGGATGAAGGAGGACATTAAAATACTGCAATGTTAGCTTACTGCGACATTCGATGCTGTAACAATAGCACTATGTCATCGTTATCTCTTTCTGTTCTGTTTCGTGCTTTCAACACTTCGTGCAAGTTACATCGTAAAAGCACTGGCAAATTAGTCACTGACAAGAGTAACAATTCCTTACAGCTAAAGAAATTGCGACCGCACCGATGCTTTCTTTTTGTGTCACGACCTGTCAATGCAGGACACGATACTTTTTTTTTACTTTTTTTTTTTTACTTTATTTAATGATAGCCTCTGTATATCCAGCTGGACGAAATCCGCTACAGATGTTTTAAATCGTGGCGGATTTCTACTGTGTCTCTGAAAAAAATTAATTAAGCTTCAGCGGCCTGCACCGAAGTCACTCACGAGCAACCAGTTGCTGATTAGAATACATCGCTAAATAAATACATCTTTGCGACAAGCAGTTAAATGACTTCCATCTGTGAAGACTGGGATGTGACAGTGGTCACGTGATCTAATATGGCTGACTTTTATGCTCACATTTATGTTCACATTTATGCTCATATTTATAGTCACATTTAGACTGACTTTTATGTTCATATCACATAAAAATTGCACGTATTTACAATAAAAGAAGTGAAAATATTTACAAAATTTCTTCACAAGCTTTGTATAAAACCAAAAACTTTCAAAAACCTATCCGCCAGGTTTGTTCGTCCACCAATTTACAGTCTTCGCAGAAGAAAATCATTGATGCAAACACTACTGCCTTCAGTACTCAGCTTACATTTCATTGCAGCTACAAAAAAAGAAAAAAAATGATTTCCAATAGTTGTCAGATAATAATGAAGATATACTCAAGCAGAAATAATTGCTGCGAAAGAATTGTAAGAATAAATATTAAAAAGCTTCGTGCATGTTAATAGTGTTATAGTTCTATCACCATCCTAATTTTGAACTAGTTCTTATCTTTGTGATCTATGATTAGTGTTCTAAGTATACTCTACTAGCTGCCTTCTCTATACCACTAATAATACTTTGTCTAAAATACTTCCATGTTTCGGTCGTTTACTTTTTTGGAAAGTATTGAATACTCACTTCTCCGGCAATACACGCGGCTTGGCATAGTCTCCTGGCCAGTCGTAAACGTTTGGCAGTGGACTGTCATAGTTAGCATCGTACATTTTACTCATGATAAACGCACGCTTGTCTTTTGGTTCTGGATACTCGCTGGCTAATCCGGCTGAAAAATGATTGAAGTTTGAATTAAAATGATTTTGGTAAATCCACTTTCATAGTGGAGCTTAGTATGCAAGTTTAGAAATTAATTTTTAAAGTCATTCTGGAGGTTCAGATCTTCTAATGATCTTAGCCTTGACAAGGTTACTTGAGTGACCTCACTTGTTCATTGTAAAGTTGCTAAACCTATAGTACGCTATAGTACACCACTTTCACAGTGGAGCTTACTATACAAGTTTAGAAATTAATTTTTAAGGAAATTCAGGAGGTCAGATCTTCTAATGATCTTAACCTTGACAAGGTTATTTGAATGACCTTGAAAAGATTTTAACCTCACTTGTTCATTGCAAAGTTGCTAAACGTACAAATCTATAGTACACTATAGTACACCACTTTCACAGTGGAGCTTACTATACAAGTTTAGAAATTAATTTTTAAGGAAATTCAGTAGATTCAGATCTTCTAATGATTTTAACCTTGACAAAGTTATTTGAGTGACCTTGAAAAGATTTCAATCTTACTTGTTCACTGCAAAGTTACTAAAAGTATAAACCTATAGTGCACTATATTGCAGTGGTACAAGGTACATAATTTTGTTAAAAGAACTTACTCTAAATACAGTATAATATATCATAACATAAATACTACTACTTGAAGACCTATAATGACTATAGTACCAAACTATGGTATACGATAAACATTAAGATTACTCTATGTTTGTATAGTCTGTATAGTCATTTTGTTAAAAGAACTTACTCTATGTTCCAATCTAAATAGACTATAATATAACATAAATAATACTACTTAAAGACTTATAATGACTATAGTACCAAACAATGTACACCATAAACATTAAGGTTACATTCAAACAATATCCTTACAGTTTTAATCTCACAGCTTTCGTAACTTAATAATTACCAAATCTCCTTAGCAAAGTAACTTACTTTTCGCATAAGCGTAGTTCGCAATTCGAACAGCAATATCGATGGAACATTCGCGAATGGTACTTAACGGTGGGTACAGACTGCCCATGTCAAGATCCTCGTCCTTGACATGATCGGCAACAGCCTGTGCCGAGATGAGGAACAGATCCTCGGTAATGTGATGGCAACCAGTTGCGATCACACCCAACGCGATTCCAGGGAATATGTACGCGTTGTTTCCTTGTCCAGGTTTATAGATTTTCCCGTTATACTTCACTTCTCCAAATGGGGATCCCGATGAGAAAATGCATCTTCCCTACAAGTTAATGTGACTTAGAATCTCATACACATTAAGGAGCTAATAATGAGACTACAAATGTTTATGTGTTTGTACATTAACTTAAGCAAACCTCAGCCTTGACTAACCTAACCTAAACCTTAGATCATCAGACCTTAATTAGCTTGAGGACTTTGCAGAACATTTGTTTACATTTTGGTGATCTTGAAGCATAATTTGACTTTTAAGCTGCACAAACATTCGCAGTCTAACATATCCGTGAAAATATATGAATGACTAGTAAATATTGAAACAATATACATAAATGATTTGACAGTATATCAGTGATTTGACAATTGTGAAGTTTGATAGTCCTCAACAGTGAATTAAAATACACAGCAAACACCACAAATATTAAATAAATAATAGTAATCGTACATCCGTGTAATCATAAGCCTGCTGCGCCGTGCACTCAGCCTTGCTGGTCGGATTGCTCAACGCAAAGATCAACGGCCTTTCATTGTTCTTCGCCATCTCTTTGAGCACCTCAGGAGTGAACGCTCCCGCGGCTGCCGACGCGCCTGTTTCGATATTTCTGCTTTAGAAAACAATCGATGTATGTCGACAAATAAAGTGGTTACGCACCAATCAGAACGGTGGGTTTCACTTCCTTCACCACCTCCAGCAGCGATTTCATCACTTTGTGATCTTTCGCGTACCAGATCTTGTGGCCTTCTAAGTTACCTTCGGGTCGGTTCTTTACTAGCAACCCGTCGATATCCATCATCCAAATGTTGTCGCGGGCTCCTTGTTCCGTGCAGCCGTCCGCCTCCATTGCTTTCACGCAGAGGTCGGCTATTCCTATCGCTGCCTGAAATAAAATAAACTGAGGTGAACATCTTGCGACGGGTACATCTTGCGGAATTGTTTAACTGTGGAACTGAGTTGACTGCAGTTTTGACTGCAGTTTTGACTGCAGTTTTGAGGTCAAGGCTTTAGATTTTCAGGATAATAAAGATGTGAAGGTTTACCTCACCAGCGCCAAGGAACACAAACTTATTGTCGGACATCTTCTTCTTGGTAACTCGTTTGGAAGCCAGAATTCCGGCGACCGCAACGGCGGCGGTGCCTTGTATGTCGTCGTTGAAGGTGCAATACTTGTCTCGGTATTTGTCCAGGAAACGGAACGCGTTGTGATTGCCGAAATCTTCGAACTACAACAATTTATGAACCCATTAATCCATGTTAAATAAAATTCACATCGGTGCATGGATACCATAACCTTAAATATGTATACAAATTTTTAAAACTAATGAAATATGTAAATAATCAAAACCTTGTGAAAAGATAACAGAAGGTCTATGTGTCTTTATTATAAGATTTGAGATGTATATACATAGGTGAATCTCATAACCTTAAATGTATGTAGAAATTTTTAAAAATTACTGAAATATGTAAATAATCAAAACCTTATAGAAAAGAGAATACAAAGTCTACCTATCTTTACAAACTCTGTTAATTTTAATTTTATACACTGTGTGTTATTTAAAGAAATTTACAAAATGTCGTCGTATTATTTTTTCCTCAAATCCACAATATTTAAATTTTCAAAATAACTTCTTCCAAAATGTCGTCGTATTATTTTTTCCTTAAATCCTTAAATTCTCAGATTCTTAAAATAATTTCTTACAAAATATCGTCGTATTATTTTTCCCTCAAATACTCAAATTCTCAGATTCTCAAAATAATTTCCTACAAAATGTCGTCGTATTATTTTTCCCTCAAATCCTCAAAATAATTTCCTACAAAATGTCGTCGTATAATTTTCCCCCCAAATCCTCAAATTCTCAAAATAATTAATAATAATTGATCCGATTAATGATATAAGTTAACGTAAATAAATTCTTGTATTATTTTGACAGTAAATTATTAAATAAAAGTAAAATGAGATTAAGAACGTACTTGGATGAGAACGTTCTGACCATATTTCCTAACGCAAGCAGCCATAAACTCATCGATCAGCTCATCGTATTCAGCTCCTTGACTCCTAGGTTTGTTAAGACCGATGTAATGAGGATCATTTCGAAGCTGTTCGTTATTGGTGCCCACGTCGATAGTGATTGGCAAGCATTGATACGGTTTAATGCCTGCTAAAGCTGTGTAGAGGGCCAATTTTCCTACAGGAATTCCCATTCCACAAGCACCCAGATCTCCAAGACCCAGGATTCTTTCGCCATCGGTTACGCAGATCGCTCGGACTGCTTGCTCGGGCCTAATATTTGGAAGGAAATGTTTTGAAATGTGTTGATTGGTGAACGTGTTGAACGTTTTGTGTAAGGAGATAAAGTTACTAGGGTAAGAGGATTGGTGTAGCGTTCTCTAAATATGGGTTGGGTTCTTTGGAGGAATGTAGGATGTAGGATAGATCATTGTTGAAGTTTTGATATTTTTAGAGATGCAAGCTTGCGAGATTTAAAAGATTTTCAAATCTTACGAATTTTATGTTCACTGTTTTTCTTTTCTTCAATTTCTAAATTACTAAACCTTAAATGTCTACATTTGCAAATTTTCAACCCTTGCAAATTTCTAAACTTTATATCTATATTTCCAAATTTTCAAACCCCCAAATTCTCATATTCTAACATTCTAAAATTTCCAAATTTCAAGAACCCAAATTCTCACATTTCAAAATTCTAAAATTTCCAAATTTCAACCTCCCAAATTCTCACATTTCAAAATTTAGAAATTTCCAAATTTCAACCCTCCAAATTCTCACGTTCCAAAATTCTAAACTCCCCAAATTTCAACCCTCCAAATTCTCACATTTCAAAATTCTAAAATTTCCAAATTTCAACCTCCCAAATTCTCACATTTCAAAATTTAGAAATTTCCAAATTTCAACCCTCCAAATTCTCACGTTCCAAAATTCAGAAATTTCCAAATTTCAACCCTCCAAATTCTCACGTTCCAAAATTCAGAAATTTCCAAATTTCAACCCTCCAAATTCTCACGTTCCAAAATTCAGAAATTTCCAAATTTCAACCCTCCAAATTCTCACGTTCCAAAATTCAGAAATTTCCAAATTTCAACCCTCCAAATTCTCACGTTCCAAAATTCAGAAATTTCCAAATTTCAACCCTCCAAATTCTCACGTTCCAAAATTCAGAAATTTCCAAATTTCAACCCTCCAAATTCTCACGTTCCAAAATTCAGAAATTTCCAAATTTCAACCCTCCAAATTCTCACGTTCCAAAATTCAGAAATTTCCAAATTTCAACCCTCCAAATTCTCACGTTCCAAAATTCAGAAATTTCCAAATTTCAACCCTCCAAATTCTCACGTTCCAAAATTCAGAAATTTCCAAATTTCAACCCTCCAAATTCTCACGTTCCAAAATTCAGAAATTTCCAAATTTCAACCCTCCAAATTCTCACGTTCCAAAATTCAGAAATTTCCAAATTTCAACCCTCCAAATTCTCACGTTCCAAAATTCAGAAATTTCCAAATTTCAACCCTCCAAATTCTCACGTTCCAAAATTCAGAAATTTCCAAATTTCAACCCTCCAAATTCTCACGTTCCAAAATTCAGAAATTTCCAAATTTCAACCCTCCAAATTCTCACGTTCCAAAATTCAGAAATTTCCAAATTTCAACCCTCCAAATTCTCACGTTCCAAAATTCAGAAATTTCCAAATTTCAACCCTCCAAATTCTCACGTTCCAAAATTCAGAAATTTCCAAATTTCAACCCTCCAAATTCTCACGTTCCAAAATTCAGAAATTTCCAAATTTCAACCCTCCAAATTCTCACGTTCCAAAATTCAGAAATTTCCAAATTTCAACCCTCCAAATTCTCACGTTCCAAAATTCAGAAATTTCCAAATTTCAACCCTCCAAATTCTCACGTTCCAAAATTCTAAAATTCCCAAATTTCAACCCCCCAAATTCTCACATTTCAAAATTCTAAAATTTCCAAATTTCAACCTCCCAAATTCTCACATTTCAAAATTTAGAAATTTCCAAATTTCAAGCCCCCAAATTCTCACATCTCCAAATTCTAAAATTCCCAAATATCTCAAGCCTAAATTCTCACATCCCCAAATTCTAAAATTCCCAATTTCAACCCTTCAAATTTTCACATCCCCAAATTCTAAAATCCCCAAATTTCTAACCTATAAATTCTCACATCCCCAAATTCTAAATTTCCCAAATTTTGCAAACCCCCTAATATTACTTAAAAAAACCCCTCACATATTTCATTATAAAAAAATAAAAAACCTAAAAAAATATAACACCCTCACAAAATCCCATAGTCATTTCAAGTCCACCCTATAGAAATTTCATCTCAAGTTTACAGTATAAAAGTGCTTAGTTACTGTTTAGGGAATAAGCTACTTATGCATGCAGAAAGTTGAGCACAGTTTATCTTTGGTATTCCAATAGCATCTGAATATCTTTACACGATAAGTGTGTAAAGAATACACGTGTCAGCAAATGTGTTCCACTTGGTACAAATGATTACAATACACGATTTGCTTTATACCTTCTTATTTAAGCAATAAATTATAGTTATTATAAAACAAACATTTAACATTGTAACATAACTACAGAATGAATTGTATTGATCAAACTTCAACTTCCAAAATAAAATTTTCACTTTCAATTTTTAATAAAATTTTTCTCCGTTTATACGAACAAGTAAGTTATTATTTATTAAACACACGATGAAAAGTTCTACATCGAGTAAATTATTCTACGTGCACTCAGCGTTAAAAAGTGTCCTTACATGAACGAAGAAGCCATTAACCTTGCATTTATTAAACATAAGAAGATTCTTAAATCATGTGAAATGTTCTACGTGCACTCAGTGTTGAAAAGTGTCCCTTTTAAGAAGCTACTTGCTAAGCCTTGCTAAACATACTAAAAATGTCCTACAAGCATTACATTAAAAAATACGATGACAATTTTTACGAACCAATTATTCAAGATTTCATAGATGTGTCCCTTATCGTATATCGTGATGAACAATCCACGTGGTCTACGATAAATAACGCCAAACTTTTGACAGGCCAATCCAACGGTAGGTGTGTAAACAATTGGCATCATTTGTTCGATGTTTTCGCTCAACAGACGGAAAAATAATCTCTCGTTTCTCTCCTGTGATAAAGGAATATTAAAAAAGAAAACAGATGGGTCGTAATTTGCCGATGCCACTCGAACAGATTCGTTTCAATTTACCTGCAATTCCACCAGATAGAGGTATCGATTTAAATCCTCGGTGTATTTCATTACCGAAGCTTTGCACAGGGCCAGCTGTTCTTCCTGAGTTTTAAATCGAGGAGGCTGCAGACCGTGTATACCCAAGGATATTCTCTCTTTCAGAGTAAATGCTAAACCCTGTGTTAACAGAAGTATTTGTATCTTGTAAATAAAAGAAATTTTGTGACGAAAATTCGTTTTGATTTAAGGTATTGAAACGTTAAGATGTAAAAACGTGAGAGAAGCATCTGAAGCGTTTGAGACTTCACCGCCATTTTGAAGTGCTTTGCTACAGTCTTAAAATGGTACCCGCGTCTTTTCCAGCTTACAGTTGTCGAGTCTCCATCTGAAGGGCCTATTTTAAAGGGGAAGCTTCAAAGAATATGACAATATTTTTTTAAAATGTAAACCCTTACGCTCCTCATTGAAAAAAACGCAAAAAAAGAATTTGTTTAAATTTTTCGACGTTTCATAACAAATTGACGGAATTGAAAAAAATATTTTAAAATAGCCTAATCCTTTGTGAATACAACAAAAAAGAATTTAGCCAAATCGGTTGAGTAGTTTCTGAGAAAAAAATTCGTGAGTGAAGCCTATTTTTGTGAGAATGAGCAAAAATTGCAAACTTTGAAGGCTTGTTATTTTTTAACAAATTCGAAACTGGTGAAATGATAACTTAAACCCCCTCTAATTTCACGTGGACTATGAAATATTTTGATTAGAGCAAAATCGGAGATGGTGACGTCAGTAGTGATGGATTTAACTTGGAATAAAAATAGAACAAATTTCGATGAGAAGACTTTTAAGGAAAATATTTATAATTCAGACTGTGAACAGATAATGTATGATTCAGACTGTGAACAGATGATATATAATTCAGACTTTACACAGATAATTTATAATTCAAACCCTAAACAAATAATTTATAATTCAAACCCTAAACAAATAATTTGAGGTTATGTCATAATCGAGGTTATGTCACATTCGAGGTTAAATAACGTAAATTATTATCAAAATTTATGAATTTTGTTGCAAACACCTTCACAAAGATAAAATTGTATCGACAATTCAGATTGTAGAGCTGGAAATTAAAAAAGTGTACACGCAACCGATACATGCACGATAATTCAAGAGTGCAGGGTAATTAAACGGATAAGTTTGCTTAAGCTTATTAGATCTGAAGAGTTAATCGATCATGCGTCTAAGAGTCAATAAATATAGTAAATGATAAAAGACGGCAATTTTTAGAACGGTAAAGTCTCGGACAGATACGCTAAGTATCGGTAAATACGGTTAAATCTTTAATGCGATCTGATAACAAACTTAGCGATTGTTTAGTCTCCTGCGGTTTGTTTGCTCATTTTTATAAATAAATGTGTTTATTTCGTTAGTAATTTTGTATCAATACTGTCAGATACTATCTGTAAAATTTGATAGTGCTTATACATAAAATTTGATAGTACATTTCCATAAAATTCGATAATGTAAATCAACCTTGATCTGTGAGATAATTGTGTCATCAATTTTATACAAATAAAATTTGATGTCTAAAAAAATGAGTAAATTTATGTCTGAATAAAATGAATAAATTTATAAATAATAATTAATATCTTAAAATTAATAGACATTTAAATATTTTAAATATGCAAAAAAAATTATAACTAAAAATTTTTCATATTAGAATAAAATTTGAAAGACATCGATAACATAAAAAAATTAGTAAATTTATGTCTGAATAAAATTAATAAATTTATAAACAACAATTAAGAGACATATCTTAAAATTAATAGACATTTAATTATTTTAAATATGCAAACAAAAATTATGACTAAAAGTTTTTCATATTTGAATAAAATTTGAAATACATCGATAACATAAAGTAAATAGTGACTTCATGCTAACGTTATCAGGTGTAACAAATACAAAAGCGTTAGAAGTTACAATATACAAATGACCTTGAACATGAAACATATGCGCAATCGTTATCCATGTACAACAATTATGCGCGGTGAAGATATTATATTTTATTTCAATGTATTTATTGTATCCTCTTTAATGCGCAGGTTTATCGCTTTTGATTACACACTGCGCATATGTTCAATATTCAAGGTCGGTCAAGGTCATTCTTTTAAGCTTAATTTTAATATATTAAACATAATGTGGTATGCAAAATTTTTAATGAATAATTCAAGCTTTATTAGTTAATTGTTGAATTAATATTAGTTAATTTTGTTGAGTTAATATTAGGTAGCAATTTTTAATTTTGATTAATCTAATTTTTATCTCAAGCACTTTTAGAGAATTTGCAAAGAATTATATAGAAGTTATGTAATGAAGTTTGCATTTATTCAAATGGGAAAACACAACATTGTTCGTTAATTTTGATGTTGAAACAGTGTGGAATTTTTGCAATATACAATGAGTAATATACACAGAACAATGAGTGTATGCACAGAACAGATTATATTTAAAAATCACTGGAAGATAAGAGTAAGGAATTGTGACGAGTAATTTTTTTTTTTTTAGGAAAGAATATTTTGTAATATTTTGTGAAGTTTTATAGGCAAAAATATTTTGTAATATTTTATAAAGTTTTGTAAGAAAAAATATTTTGCAATATTTTGCAGTTTTATAAGAAAAAATGTTTTGTAATATTTTGTGAAATTTTGTAAGAAAAAATATTTTGCAATATTTCATAAAGTTTTGTAAGAAAAAATATTTTGTAATATTTTGTAAAATATTGTAAGAAAGAATATTTATAACTATGAATGTCTTAAGCAGAAATTTCAGAAACAATCTTGTAGAGGATGAAATTAATTTTTTACTGTATAGAGTGATTAAAAAATTAGTAAAAATAGAATTTAAAAAATACCTTGTTAAGTCGAGGATCCCTTAGATGACCGATACCTTTTACCATATTGATAGGTATCACATCTCCGGACACCTCGTGTATGTCTCTGTGTTGAACATCCTTTGCAGCAGGATGCGTGGGTGGAAGCATTCGTGCCCATGATCCTGCACAATTCCTGCTGCTGGGCGATCTAATGTACCATAACAGATAAATGACGTCGTTTTATATGACATGTTCGCTGTATATCATGAGACTGCACGTGTTTATGCAAATACGGTTAGGTTAGGTATACCGCTTAATGCGCGCTCGTTTAATGCGCGATAGGAACGGCCATTATACGAGGTACTTGCGCATGCGCAGATTTAGTGTACATAGGAGATGTATTAGTACATGAAAGTACATTATTTTATGGAAAAATTTGTCACATCGAATGTGATTTTTAAAAACAGATGAAATTGAATAAAATATTGAATCGAATGAGATCGTATGATCAAGTTAAATTGAACTGAAATTGAATTTGAATTAAATTGAAATTGAAATTGAATTGAAATTGAATTGAAATTGAATTGAAATTAAATTGAAACTGAATTGAAATTAAATTGAAATTACATTGAAATTAAATTGAAATTGCATTGAAATTGAATTGAAATTAAATTGAAATTAAATTGAAATCAAATTGAAATCAAATTGAAAGCAAATTGAAATCAAATTGAAATCAAATTGAAATTAAATTAAAATTAAATTGAAATTGAATTGAAACTAAATTGAAATTAAATTGAAACTAAATTGAAATTAAATTGCAATCAAATTGAAATTAAATTAAAATTGAATTGAAATTAAATTGAAATTAAATTGCAATTAAATTGAAATTAAATCGAAATTAAATTGAAATGAAATTAATTAATAAATCAAATCATTGTTCACTTAACCTAAAATCATTAAATTTGATCAAAATTATTAATAGATTTAATCAAAATTATTAAATCTAATCAAAATCATTATCAGATTAAATCAATCATTAAAATTAAAAATAAACCATAATCACATCACATTGAAACTGATAAAATAAAATAAACTAAAAGCACCCTAATATTTTATCGATTGTACTTAAACATTTATGCAAGTTATAAATAGCGAAATGTTCAACACAGATTTTTATTTATACTATAAACACATCTTCGAATAAATTCCATTGTGCCGCAGCTACACGAATTAAGATGCAATTACAAGTCACCTGTGCGAAGAATAAGAATTCGATTGCATTCGTTTCCTGTTTACGAGATATAATAGAAATACTATCATAATCCGTGTATTCTCTGAATTTCCACAAAGAAGCTTCTTATCGACTGATTCACAGGAGGCATTCTTTTATAGTCTGAAACGTCGGTAATCTTTTGATACCTGCTAAGACGTAAAACGAAAAAATTGAGAAAGGTCTTGTGCAATTATTCTTCAATTTACGTAGCTTATTTTGATGCATTATATTTTATTTGATAAGAAAGCAACAGTTTGAAATAAACTGAGACAAAAGCAAAGAGTAGATATAACACTAGACAAGGAAACCTAGAGAGAGGCAGAGGACTAATTTAAATGCCTAAATCAAAAGAATCGGGGGTGCGCATGCGCACAGTGTAGAAGTATGGCGGTCGAAAAGAATAGTTTAAACCTGCATATTCACCAGTAATTTATTTCTAATAAATATTTTGTCATATCTCTGTAACACATTCATCCGTAATTTCTTGTGATAGTTTTTCATTTTCTTAGAAGTTATTTGTAATAATCATTTCCGTAATACATATTCTTCAAATATATTTTCTAGAGCAATCATTTTTATTCTTTTCTTTTTCAACTTTTCAACGCGGTAAAATTGATAAAAATACCCCGAAAGACAATATTGTATACAGAAAATTTATTACGAATATATTCCAAATTATTATTAGAGATTGACGCGAAAGATTTGCTCGATTTAAATTTCCCGCTCGTTTGTATAACCAATTTAAAGGGACAGTTTTTGAGAGATCAAAGGTGCCGAGATCAAAGATTACAATTTATTATAACAACATTACAATATAAAATATAAAGCGGTAATTAAAGCAGCGACTATAAAAAATAATTCACTAAAAACTTAATAGTTCATTTAAAAAATGAACTATATAAAATGAACTATAAATGAATTATATCCGTATCATCAATGTGAATCGTTTAAAATATCGCGCAGAAAAAATTGTTATATAGGAAGAGCACAAGAGACGTCGACAAAAAGCTCTAATTAGTTTAATTATATATAATGCCAGGGAACACGGCTCACGTTCTAGTTTTTAACGAAATTGCGTTTGAAGCCGGTTTATGGACCCCTGACAGAGATGTTTGCCAATTAGTACGTTCAACCGAATGACTCATTTGCTAAAGGGAGGTTTAGCGAAACTACACGCGTGAGAAGAGGTCAGAATCGCGTGGTGGAAATACACGATTAACGTCATCCACGATACTGAATCATTCTAGTCGATAATTCATCCCTGGAACACTCCACGCAATCTTTCTTCGCGTCGGACACTTGTTGCCAGCTAACGTGAGCTTCTTCCGTAGACAATTGACTGCGATGGGTGGTTTCTTATAGGAAGACATATTGCAAATATTATTTTTTTATATTCACAAATTTTTGTATTTTTTGGATTTGTTAATGATTGAGAGATTTTAGATATTTGAATTTTGGAATATTGGGATATTTGAATTTTGGGATTTTGGAATTTGGGGATTTTGGAATTTGGGGATTTTGGAATTTGGGAATTTGGAATTTTCGGATTTTGGAATTTTGGAAGTTTGGAATTTTGGGATTTTGGAATTTTTGGATATTGGAATTTTTGGGTTTTGGAATTTTTGGATTTTGGAATTTTTGGATTTTGGAATTTTTGGATTTTGGAATTTTTGGATTTTGGAACTTTTGGATTTTGGGATTTTGGAATTTTGGAATTTTGGAATTTCAGAATTTTTAATTTTTGTAGTATGCAAATCCCTAGATCTCCGAATCCCCATATTCCCAAATCCCTATATCCCCAAATCCCTATATTTCCAAATCCCTATATCCCTAAATCCCTATACTCCCAAATCCCTATATCCCTAAATCCCTATACTTCCAAATCCCTGTATCCCCAAATCCCTATACTCCCAAATCTCTATATCCCCAAATCCCAATACCCTCAAATCCCCATATCCCCAAATCCCCACACCCTAAAATCCCTACATCCTAAAAACTTCAAATCTTAACCCATTCACAAGACTTCAAACAACCCAAAATCCCTATGAAGTAACAAGTGGTCGTCTTCTCAAACTTCAAGTGTGAAGTTGTCACATCAGCCCCAGGAAAGCAAGATTCGCTCTTCATATGTAGATACATGCATGAACGAGATCGATCGAGCCTGGTCGAGTTACGTTGCCAAAATATTTTCGATGGCCTGGCTTGGGAGTAGTAAATCAACAAGTCGCGATACCAACAGCCTCTTTGGCTTGATGCCTCGTGAACGCGATCGTCGGCCGTTCCTTTTGCGACCACCGACTTGGTGATTGATGAAATTGCGATTACTCTATTGAACCAATTGTCCACCGATTCAATTTTCAACAGATTTTCTGACGCCACGTGATTTCATTCCTCTGTGTCATGTGATAGATTGGTTCTATTGAGAGCGGTGATATTTGAAATTGTGGGAAATGATGGGAATAGGTGGGTTATATTGAATTAGTATGGCAATCAGATAATTAGTTTCAGTAGAGTTATGTTCTAGGTTGATTACGTTTTAGGTTGATTACGTTTTAGATTGATTACGTTTGAGGTTGGTTTTAGTTAAATTATTTGCTGCTTAATTTTAGTTGGTTTTGTTGAAGAAGAATTTTTGATATTTTAGTTGCCATAAAATAACAAGTTTCGTAATTAAAATTTCATAGTAAAATTAGTGTACATCCTTGTGGTTTTTAATGTTCCTTAATAATTACTATATAAAAGATATATAAAGGGTGTTTCACAATTAGTATACGTCCCTGAAATGAGAGGTAGCTGACGTGATTCTGAATAATATTTTCCTTTGCAAAAATTCGATTTAAAGCTTCGTTTTTGAATTATTAAGGAAAAACACGGACCAATCAGAGCGCGAGGATTGCGCATGCGCAGACGCGAGTATCACGCTTGCGCAGACGCGAGAGCGCAGCTTCGAGCCTAGAGGCGGAGCGTGCGTAATTCTCGCGCTCTGATTGGTCCGTGTTTTTCCTTAATAACTCAAAAACGAAGCTTCACACCCAATTTTCGTAAAGGGAAATTTTATTCAGAATCACGTCAGCTACCCACCATTTCAAGGACCTACACTAATTGTAAGACAACCTGTATATAAAGATACATATCTGAATATAAATATACGAACATACACATAAAGATACATTTACTAAGTTTATGATTGTTCTCCGAAACAAATTAAGTTCAACAAAGAACTATTTTTATATCAGTAACTCAGAAAATAATTAAACTCGACAACACGTAGGAAAGTTACGCGAGTTATGCACATCAAAGCGTCATGACACTGAAAATACCACAATGTGGAGAGCGTGTATCGATTGAAGATGAGCTAAAGGTATTGCAGCTAGAGAGGTCGAGTAGCTCGTCGATAACGTGATACCTCGTTATTTGATAATGTGTTCTCCAACGCGATATTCAATAACCGCGTTCACAATGTTCAACCACTTATAGTAATTTAATATTTTAACCGATTGGCTGCTGATTTGATCTTAAGAAATTTTCCATTGGTTACGATTTGACTTTTCTAGGCTTACAGTGATGGAGATGCTATTTATATTGCCTTTGTCAACAATGGACATTATTAAATACTTTACAGTGTAATCAAACTTTTGCTGTAATAACTTGCTATTTTGATGCAATCAAATTTTAATTTGTATTTTAGAAGATTTGTGGGAGTTTAGGTTATTAAATGCATCTGTAGAGATACATAAATTTTTTCGTTTTTATGCTTCATATTATTACTCACTTATGTACACATTTTACTTTAAAAACATAATTTAAAACATTATTTAAAACATTTTATTTTAATGTTTTAGGTTATAATTTAGGTTATAATTTTCTAATTTTTATGCTTCATATTATTACTCACTTATGTATACATTTTATTTTAAAAACATAATTTAAAACAT